ACACATAGTAAAATAATATTAACATGAATAAGAAATTTCTTCTCGCCAGAGGAGACTATAGTAATGGGATCCTTGATATTTATTGAAATTATTGAATCTTAATGAGATAAAAATCAATTGATTTGAAAATTTTTTTCTAACTCAAAAAAAATGCAAAATATTAATTGCCACAGGCGAATTCAAACCTCGTACCCTAAGCGTGAAAGACAGTAGTGTTACCGATTCGGCAACTGTTCATTGATTTCGTCGCATGATAAAATTAGTAATTTAAACTAATTCAAATTTAAAAATTACTTTTTCAACTTTAAAAAAGTAAAAAAACCCAGCACAGGGGGGTCGCGGCACAGTGGTGACGTGGCATAGTTGGATCAAGTAAATGATATCTGACAGTGATTAAAATCACTATCAAAAATAAACGCTTCGATGCAAATCTTTAGATAGTGTTTAATTTTAAAAAAATTGGTGTTTTATTCCAAAAGCTACTTGATCTGCTGGTTCCTTATTAATATCCTGATTAAGGTAAAGTATGTCGAATGAAAAAGGGTTTATTAAAAAATATTATTTGTCATAAAAAAATTGTGTGGATCCATAAGCTTTTCAATAAGTTATAGCATTATAAAGTTAAATATAATATAAATAATAAAATCGAGAATTTTCACACGAAAAAAGCATTCGGTAGCCATTTTCGCCATGAAGACAAGTCCAGAGGTCAAATTTTTTTTTTTCAAATTAAAGTATATTACATTAGCTTTAATTTAAGATATATATAAAAGTGTCAGACCTTCCGGAACATTTTCAAAAGTTAAGTTGAAAAAGTTAATTTTTTGTGAAAAAGTTGTCATTTTAAATCCCCCCCTGTGGGCAGGTTAAGTGTCAGATTTACAAAAAAAATATACCAAATGATAGGTAAGGACATCAAGCATCTGTATAAAAAAAAATTATATTGATATGTTCATTTTTGAAAAAATTATGGCAGTTTTAATTAAAAAAATTGAGAAATTTTTTAAAATTAGCGATTTTTAAATTTGTAATTTATTGGAGATTTCCCCCTATTACGGGGAACGAGGGAAATTTTTTCAATTTTTGAGGGTAACGTCTTCAACTAGATACGATTTGTGATTTTTTGACGTATCGTTGAAAGAAATCCGTTCGGTGAGAGCTGAGAAAAAGTGGTAACAGACACAAAAAAAAAA